CTGCATCATGGCAGACCCCCTCCCCACACTGAAATGGGCGAGACTGAAGCAGAAGGTGATTCTTAAAGAGACAGAGGCCAATTTCAAGGCATTTAGAAGAGGAAGTGATGAGAAGATAAGTTCATTTTCTATTTAAACATAAAAACAGCATTTTAATAACAACTAAAGGTGACACAGATACTTCATTATGGTATAGTATTTAAATGTATGCCTGAGAAACACATAATATTTCCCCTTTAAAGCAACGTAAGAATGCACTTTTCAGTTTTATGTTTTATTTTATCATTATGAAACCATTTTTAAAAATTCCAATCTACTACATTAATCTTGAGTTCCTTTGAAAATGTGTTGCTTTTTAATCAATTCCAGGTTGTAAGGCAACAAAAAGATGACAAAGAGGAGCTGGCCTTGCTAACTTCAGCAAGGCCAGTAAAATTTCTAACCCAAGGTTTCCCAGCAGTGTCGTAAGAATCATTATTTATTCTCACGTCGTGACATTCAATTTGTGGCTGCTGGGTGTCTTTTAGATGCTTAAAGCTGAAAATGTGGTTCAATCACAGGCTTTATAATTGTATGTAGAATTTATTTTCAAAGATATGAGCAAATTGTTACAACAGAAGTCCTTATTTTGGCTTGCAGAAGGAGATCCTTTTCAATGCCTCTGTTTGTTTTCCTTAAGATTTTGACTTTAGTGATTTTATTCCTGTTTATGTCACTGTAGCACGCTCACATTGTTCGTTCATCTGGATCGTAAACCTCCTGCTTATTCGGCCATATTTCTATTTCACACCAAGCCCCAGCTGCCTGTACTACTCAACCCCTTCGTGCCTCAACACTTGCTTTAGTTTAGCACCTGTGGTTCTCTAAACACCATTGAAAATTGGTTTAAAAAAATTCTCCTTCCTCCTGTTGCCTTTGCTGAGGACACACACCTCTCATCCCTTCCAGGCTAAGACAGGACCTTAAATTTCAACACGGTCTTAGCTCATCCGTGTGTTCGACTCCGTCCTTATGACTGTGGTGCTGTAAGTAAATGAATCTCTGTGCTAAAGTTAACGGAGTCGTCACAAGTCTCCTCTCCTAATATTGCCTTTTTTTTATTCTTATTTATTTATGATTCCTTCCAGTTTGGTGCAAGATGGTCTGCTTGATCTATTTATTTATGGTTATTAAAAAAAGTAATCTAAAACTAATTTAATGTTAGAAAATTGTCTTTATATATTGTGCTTTCTTTAGGAGAATCTAAATGTGTTAATCAGCCTTTGTTTATCAAACATGCTGTGTTTAAACTTTATTTTTTCTGCCAGGATCGTGACCACTACGTAGCTCTGCAATGACCTTTTCAAGCCTCAACAATGATTCTTTCAGCTCGGTTTAGATATTTGAACAGCAGACTGGCCACTGTGATTGTTTCAGGTTTGGGTAACTAAAACCGGCGGCTCACGGCTTGTATAAAATATATCATACCAGAGGACGCATAATCTGGTTTCTCGTTTCCTTCCTGTGGCGCTCGCTGGCGTACGGTGGATCGTTAAAGGGTCGAGCTGGTTCACGTTTAGTCTTTTTGAAAATCCGAACCGTCGGTTTGTGGTAGAGGAGAGAAATCTTAAGTGTTTGTCACTGTAACTGCATGTACCCTCCATAACCTCAGCCAAAAACACGTCATTTTTCTGTGAACTTGCCTAAAGATATGGTACATATTGCATTTATTGTACAGGATCCTGAAATTTATTTCCATATTTCAGCGAATACTTTCACATGGACCCCTCTGCTGACACATTTCAAATAAACCACCTTTAGGGAATATTCAACTTACTTTTCTCATTCAGCACAAATGATCTAAAGTCCAGGATGAGATTTGTTGCAACATTTTTTTTTGTTTTTTAAATTCCACCGTTTTTTGATTCTTGTTGAATATTCAATGTTCTGCTTGTAGAGCTGTACAAAAGGAATACTGTATTCTGAGGGTAAACATGTTCGAAAGGCATTTGCTGCCTTTGTTTGTACACAATAAAGTTAAATAAATTCTCCTGTATCTACATAAATGTTGTTGATTTTTTTCTTTTGACTTTTACTGAGAAAATCTGGAAGTCCAAAACAATAAAGATTGAATCAGTTTGTGATGTAATGAGTTCAACTTAAATACACTTTACAGAACGGTTCATCCAGTTCATGCTGTACGTGTGTATCTTTATTAAAAATGCAATGTCATTCTAAACATATTTAAAATTTTATGACAATTGTTTTTCAAAAATGTAAAAAGACATTGACATACAGTATAAAGAAATGTTAGAAAAAATGTACGTTTTTGATGACATTTTTAAAATTTACTGATATGTTTTGTATTTTATTCATAATTAGTCAACACTTTTTTTCTTATTTTATAAGAAAAACAACTTTAACAATCAGCATCCCTCTAAACTGTGCAATCCTTTTCTAAGCTTTTAATATTTTAAAGCTTGTTTTTAAGCTAATTATTAAAATAATGTAAAAACAGGTTTAACTCTAAATTGTCCCTAAGTGTGAGTGGTCCCTGTTGTCCCCTGCCTCTTATACAAAGACTGCTGGAGATGCACCAACTCCCCACGACCAGCAAAGAAAAAAATGGGATGGATGGATGGAAATACAGAAATACAACTTTGTGTTACAGCATTGTGTCAGTTTTTAACAACTGAAGGCCCTTAAAGGAATTCAAATCTCTTTTCATGACAGTTTCAGAATAAAATTCTGGCGAGAAATAACTGAGATGTACTGTGAATATTCTACAAACTACTTATAATAAGTTTCAAAGTATTTTATAATACAAATAAAAAAAGTCTTAAACATTGTTTGGTTTTTTTTTAATGGTTGCCAACAGAAAGCCTCTGAAAACATATGTCTGCCAAATTTAGGATTGTTTTTTCTAATTTAAACAAACCACAAGACTTGTAGAGCAACATGTCCTTTGAACAAGCAAGAACCAAAAAAAAAAAAAAAAAAAAAGCCTATGCAAAGACCACAGCACATGGTGGGAGGAGTAGGGGTGTCAAACTGGTTCCTGGAGGGCCACCRTCCTGCATGTTTCACTTCTCTGCTCCAGCACACCTGATTGATTCGACCTCTTCAGATTCTGTGAAAGCCTGCTAATCAGCCATTCGTGCAAATCAGGTGTCTTAAAGCTGAGAAACCTTTAAAATATGCAGGATAGTGGCCCTCGAGGACCTTGTTGTCACCGAGTTGTCTGTCAAAGCTGTCCAACAGTTAAAGCTCGGCTCACACCGGGCCATGATGCGACAGAACCAGCAGTAAACCTTTAACATGACGACTGAGAAGAGCAAAAAAAACATCCACCTGCAGCTCTAAAAGAAGTCTGTTTCAGGAACTTCTTGTTCAAACAAGAATCATTTACAATCCTATTTGACTGTTTTAATAAACAGACTAATTTATGATCCATTGGTATGCAAATCCTAGGAGACAGACAGACTTTTTGGCTGTATGAGCAGCTGCTTGTGGCCCTCCTGGCAGCAAGGAGCTCCCACAAAAATTACTCTTGGAGGACATKTTAGCAAATTAATGTGATGTATGAGCCTAAGCTTTAATCTCAATAGTTTTTCTCCCTTATATTAGTACTTTAAAGTTTTAAAACCAGTACTTTTACCTTTTTTCTCGAGTAAAAAGCTTGAGTTGACACTCCTAGTTCCAAAAAAWTATTTTTAAATAATAGTATCTATACTTCTACCTAAGTAATGAAAAGTTTTGACACCCCGGATGTCGAGCAATAAAGACCTGGGTGAGGAGAAGCTGCAGGATGAACACGGATCTTAATAACTGGAGAATTAATCTCACTGTGTTCTCAAATAGTTTGTTTCCAGTCAGGTTCTGGCTTTAGTTCATGGGGCCCTGCATGAACTTCAGCCCAGAGCCTCCAAAAATCTTRAGCTGTCTGTGGTCTGTGGTGGCTCAGTTTGTTTTTGGTTTTTCTTTCATTTTTYATCACCTCTGTCTCCGCTGATTAGACTTGTCTTCACTCTATCTTTCTCACACAAACACATCCACCTTTCCATTCCTCTGAGGACATTTTTGACTGATTAATATCTCTTTAATCTTTATCTTTGAAACTGTCTCTCTTATCGACTGCTTGACATAAAACACCAACGCATATAGAAACGACGTTGGGAAGAGGCGGGGTCCCACCACTTTCTTTCTGATCTCACAGTGAGAGAACAACACAAAAGCGCAAACAGTCAGCGGTGAACCTGCAGCCGCGCTTTCCTGTTGCTGCGCGTCATTACGCAGCACGCGCAGCCGTGCCATCATGTCAGGGGCTCTCCTGCTCCGTCTCTCTTTTCTCTCTGTCAAAATCACGCTTGTGCTTGTCGACTTTTGGTTTAATGTGTTGTAAATTTGCGGAGCGAGCAGGCAGAAGAAGCGACTTTCCTCCTCTTCATCCAAGCCATTTGGTAAGACGCATTTCCTTTCAGGTTTTAACGCCTTTACTTGGTTCGTTTGTTTCCATCTCTCATGATCTTTTGAAATCTTGTACAGGATAAACAGATGATTGTTTCACAGGAAACAGATAACACATCGTGGTAAATAAAGTAAAGTAAAATTTTGCCTCAGCAGTTTAGGAGAAAAACATAACTTTATTCAAGATTATTTATTTAAYTTTAGTTTGTTTCAAATCAACTTCAACCACAAGTCAGTGGTTTAACTGTTTCTGTTCTATTAGTTCAACAATAGTTATAAAAACATGATTTATTTGATTTTCTTGGACCTTGGAGTTGAACTGGAACCCGCAGCAAATCCTCAGCAGGATGTGTGTTTTCTTATCACTTCCTCCACTGCTTTTTAGAATCGTGGCCAAAACTGATCTTGCCAAAGCGGTCAGCTGGAATGGTTMTAAAAACCCAAGTGATCTTTTTTTTTCTTTCCTGTTCTTTACATACAGCCCACAAAGTTCACCAGTAAAGAAAAGGGTGCCAGTTGTTGTTTTCACCTTTCCTTTTGGGGATTTGCAGGTTCTTAATGTGTTGCAAGCTTTCACTGCAGCTTTATAAGCAGCTGGATAAATAGTTTCTGAATTCCTTTGGCCAAAGAGGAGAAGCTGGACTCTGGTAAACAGACAGCGTTTAATGAAAGGATCAATTAATGTCAAATGTGTGAGMCAGAAGTTTTATACAAACTGTTATATTTGCTTTCCTGATAACCATTCTACACTTAACAACACTGGTTTCCYGTAAAACAACAAGTTGTTATTACCAGMAATCAAACGAGAGGTTTTAGGTGGAGTTCTGTGGGATGAACAGGCATTATGTTACCTGTTGTAGATAACAAATTTTACTTTCTCATCAGGTTCACGTTACGATTATTTTCAWAGATTTGTTCAGGCTGTTTCACAAGACCGCTCAGGTCTGGACTTGGATGCCTTCTGGCCGTCTCTGTGAGGCTCCTGGTTGGAACGAGGCGAGGGGACGTTGGAGTCAACCCCTGCCCTGATGTGCCTTTGTCTCATGAAGTGAGGTACTAACAGACCACCACCCGGTCCTGGCATTAATAAACAACAAATATTTTTTAAATAAAAAAGAAAGACATAATTCTAAAAATCAGTTTAGTTAAATAAAGGCTGGTGTCTTTTATTTGAGCTAATTTAAGACTTAAATAACCAATAAATCAAATAAACTACTGCTTTTATGTTTGTTGTTGAATGAATGAATGAAACGTTTGTTTTAACTGGACCACTTGTTTTTATCATTTCCACAAATTAGTAAAAGAGGTAGTTCTGTACAAACTAAAAAAACTCATTAGRCAGAACAAAACAAGAAGTTTYGTATCATTTTCTCGTACAAACAGAACCTGATTTGTTCTCTTTTAGCCTGACACCTTAAAAAAGAAACTAAATGCCCCCTTTGCAACATAAACTAGTAGATTTACACAGTATAGTAYATAAACTGTTTTATCTTTTTAAGGGTGAGATAATCAGGGGCACAAATTTCCTCTTTTTTTATATTGTGGCTCAAAAGTTAAATATTTAAAATTCTCAAAGTCCAAAGGCCAAAACATTATGACCATCCTAATATTTTATAAGTCGTGCTTTCATCACTAAAAGCTGTCMGAACACAAAGGAGCATTACTGAGTTCAGTTGAACTCTGTGGGTGAAAGCGTGTTCCAATAACTGATTCCTCAAATTTCCCATATTCTCCCACCACTGCCATTAGATCCCATCAGATTAATAACTATGGTATCAGTAGGCTGACCACAGACTTTCTTCTATGACTCATGAAGATTTTATGTCGGGCTACTTTCGCATTATTATTTCCACTTGAAAGGAGGCATGAAAGAAAAAATGTTAAGTTGCGTGAAATGTTTAGCCTCCTCCCGGCACTGCATCGCGTAACAGGATGTGCCGTTTTATTCTTTAAATCTGTTCTAGTCATCGTGTTCTTGCTGAGTATTAAACTTGGGTGTTAAAATGTTTATTTAAAAATCTGATTTACTATTTATAGCCAGACATTTAAAATGAAAGTTTATTATTAGTCATGGGAGTTTCCTTACAGCTAAACTTAGCTGAAGTGAAGTCGTAAATCATTTACTGGAGATCTTAATCTAGAAACTTAGTGTACTTGAAATAATTTCCTGCTACAATACATTTTAATCATGCTTAAAAAATAAATGAATTCCTGTGAGTAAAGTCTAACCTGACCTTGTAATATAATAAGGAGTAACACACATTATCCCATCACTTTTATTTTGATTGATTTAATTCTTTACCCTCCAGTTATGGGTTGACAGGTGTTGTTTACTGTTGTTAACTGCAGCCGTACGGTTTTGAGGAATTTCCCTGCAGGTGAAAATCTCCTAAAATCGTGTGAATGACTCAGACATTTCAAGAAATGCTTCGCTCAAGTATGACCAGTTACAATACAGCTTCACACTTCTGCACGTTTATTGTCCACCCACAAATGTCACGGTGTCAGTTTACCCTTCGGACAACTAAGTCCATGATTAACAAGTTTCCTATTTCAGGCATTAATTAAAGAGGATTTATTTATTTATTTTTTGCCTCATTAGATTGCAGCATTGGTCCTCTGTGCTGCTGCCTTTTTTTCACATTTATCTAGAAAACTGCCTTCTTTGTGTTTTCTGACACTGGTTTTTATCTTTTGAATGACGGAATTTCTGATCAGGAAGTCTTCTCATGTTTTCTTTCTTTCTTTCTTTCTTTCTTTCTTTCTTTCTTTCTTTCTTTCTTTCTTTCTTTCTTTCTTTCTTTCTTTCT